GGGGGGAGAAGTGTTCAGAATCAGGCTCTCTTAAAAAAGCAACCAGAATTTTCTGATGGCAAAGGATGTGGAGTGTGAGAACAGGAGAGGAGTTAAAGAAGACTCCAAGGGTTTTGGCCTAAGCAGCTGGGTAAAATTGGTGCCATGTACTGAGATAGGATGTGCTGGAGAGGAGTGGGATTAAAGGTGGCCATGGTAAGTTTGAAGTGGCTGTTAGACAGCTGATGGAGGCATGGAGAAGGTAGTGATATTAACAAGTCTGAAGTGCTGGGGCAAGGTCAGCTTGGACATGTACATCCAGGAGTCGTTAACGTACAGTAATCTCCCCTGACCGTCAGTTTTGTTTTCTGGGTTTCAGTTACCTGTGGTCAGCCATGGTCTGAAAATATTAAATGAACAATTCATAAGTTTTAAATTGCCTGCAGTTCTGAGTAGCATGATGAAATCTGGTGCCATCCCGCTGGGACATGAATCATCTCTTTGTTCAGCATATCCATTCTATGTTCACTATCTGCCCATTCATCACTTAGTAGCTATCTTGGTTATCTGATCAACTGTGGAAATATTGCAGTGTGTGTGTGTTCACATAACCCATATTTTACTTAATAATGGTCCCAAAGCCATTCACATAACTTTTATTACAGTATGTTGTTATAATTGTCCTATTTTATTGTTAGTTATTGTTGTTAATCTCTTATTGTGCCTAATTTAGAAATTAAACTTCATCATAGGCATGTACATAATTATCTGAGTGATAGGGGTGATTGAAGAATCTTTTGTTATCATATTAGGTCTTAGTCCTAGGTTCCTGACACAAGAGCTTCTAAGATCTTTGGAATTCCTGGCGTGACAAGAGTGACTTTTTGGTATGCTAATGAGATGACTGGTAGGTTGGGGTCCCTAGTTAGCTTCAGAATGGGGGCTGGTTTCGAAAAAGACCAAGGCATGATTAGACGGTTGGAAGTTTCAGCCCTCCCTGATCTCCGGGGATGGGAGACAGTCTAGAGATTGAGTTAATTGCCAGTGGCCTATGTAATAGAACTTTCATAAAAATCCCTAAACAGTGAGGTTGGAGAGCTTCTGGGTTGGTGAACATCATTGTGCTGGGACGGTCCATGCTCCTTCCCCCCATACCTTGCCCTATGTACCCTGTCATCTTGCTGTTCATCTGTGTCCTTTAAAATATCCTTTGTAAGAAACTGGTAAATGTAAATGAAGTGTTTTCCTTAGTTCTGTGAGCTGTTTTGGTAAATTATGGAAACTGAGGAGGGGGTTGTGGGAACCCCTGATGTTAGCCTGTTGATCAGAAGCACGGGAGGCCCAGGACTTGTGATTGGCATCTGAAGTGGGGGACTGACTGTGAGACTGAGCTTTGTGGTATCTGATGCTAACTCCAGGTAGTTAGTGTGAGAATTGAGTTAACTTGTATGTCTTCCATCTGGTGTTTGGAGAGTTGGAGAATTGGTTGTTGGTGTGAGGAAAACCCCCACACATTTGGTGTCAGAAGTTTTCTATGGGAAGAAACAGGTCCTAGTACCTTCTATTCCTCCTTTGTTGAGTAGTTTTATTACAAAAGAATGTTGGGTTTTTGTCAAATGCTTTTTCTGCATCTATTGAGATGATCATATCGTCTTTTTAAAAAGTTTGTTGATATGGTGAATTATATTGATTGATTTTCAGATGTTAAACCACTTTTGCTTTCTTAGGATAAACCTCAGTTGGTCATGATGTATTGTCCTTTTTTATATAAAGATGCATTCAATTTGCTAACATTTTAAGAATTTTTGCATCTATGTTCATGAAGTATATTGGTCTGTAGTTTTCTTAAGTCTTTGCCTGATTTTGGTCTCAATGTAATGCTGGTCCATGGAATGAGTTGGGAGGTGTTCCCTACTCTTCAATTTTCCTGAAGCGTTTGTGCAAAATCAGTTGTGAAAAAAAATTTCTTCCTTAAATGTTCGGGCCTGGGATTTTCTTTGTGGGAAGGTTTTTAACTACAGTTTCAATTTCTTTAATAGATATATAGAGCTATTTTGGTTATCTATTTTTTTTAGTGGGTATTGGTAGTTTGTGTCTTTCAAGGAATTTGTCCATTTTATCTATGTTGTGGCATTTCTATCTGGTGTCATTAGAATAGCAGATGAAAATTCAGTTTTCTCCCTTTCTTTTCCAGGTAACTCTCCCTTTGTAGCTTTGAAGCAACGTAGAGTTTTGACTGGTCCCTGTGGCTCCCACCTTTCCTTCTAGGGTCAGCCCTTGGCAAAACTACTCCTTCCTGTTCGCCCTACTACTTGTACCTACCTAGCACTTCCCACCTTAAGTCTCTCTAGTTAGCAGGAATCTACTTAATAAATAAAATCCACTCCAAATTGGTTATTATTTATGGATTAATCAGTCTAGGAGTAATTTGCATTTCAAAAGAAAAGGTCTAGAGAGGATTATTCAGTGCAAAAATAAGCAAATCTTTTTTTTTTTAATTGGGGAATTGGGGAGGAGGACCAGACAAGCTGTTGTTCCCCAATCCCAGTTGTGGAGGGCACCAGTCGCCATCTGGCTTCCCGTCGGCAGCTCGTGGGCCTCTAAGCTCAAGGTGCTGTGTTCAATCTTAGTTGAGGGTGAGCGTAGCCACCATCCCATGCAACTGTGAGTCTTGTTGTTAGGAGCATGTGCTCTCACCAGCTGAGCCATCCTGCCACCTGTTGGCAGCTCAGTGGCAGTTCAGCTTGGGAACAGCGTCACTGGCCCATGTGGGAATCAAACCTGTGACCCTGCTGCTCAGAGTTCGGGCTCTTAAGCTAACTCGTAACCAACTGAGCCACTCTGCCAGCCCCCAAATAGGCAAATCTTTAATGGTGTTTTTTCAGGCTCTGTGACAGTAGGTGAGGGAAGGACTTTGGGAGATGGGCTTTCCTTTCATTTTCAAATCTTATTCAAGTACAAATTTGTTTTCACAATTCTGCTGAACTCTCCCTCCAGGGAGTTCCCTTTGCCCCTTGGTTAGTGTAAAATCTTTAATACAGCTCTGCAAAATGCTGCCACTTCTCAGGGTCATCAGAATCCATTCAATTCTCTATCCTGTCTTGTAGACCCGTGTCCTGGCCATCAAACTGTTGGACTTCTCTGAGAAAGTGATTATTTGTGTTCAAGAGTGGAGTTCAGAAATGTACATATAAAACCAAGTACTGCGGTAGACTAAAGCACGAAATTTTGAGAGCCATGGTTATAAGGCATGCAATTCTGAAGATCCTAGGTTCTTGCTGCCCTTAGACCTAACCCGAGTCTCTCTGCATTCTCGCCTTGGGCTGTCGGGTGAACCTTTCCAGAGGTGCCGGGGCTTGCCTCCAGAGTGGCGCCCACGCGGACACGGTGAGTGTCAAGGGTCAGATGGCGGGCTCCCCGACCACACAGTGCGCTGGGGAAGAGGCCAGAGGCTGCTCAGCTGGGGGTGGGGGGTGACAGTGAGGGTTTGGGGGTGGGGTAGGGGGAGGGACTGAATAACAGAAGGAAGAACAAAGTCTGGCCCCTCGTGCATCCCGAGCACTTTGACGTTCAGGACAGCAGAAGGCGGGGTCAGCCCCCAGGGGCGCGGCTGGCGTGGGCAGGGTGGTTCCCGAAGGCTGCTGCACCCTCGGCGTTGGACGGAGCGGGGTGTCTGCAGCCCCCAGCACCGGGCGAGTTTGGCGCCTCAGGCTTCCGGCTTCCGAGCGCAGTGCATGGCAGCACCATGGGGTCGCGCAATTTGGAGCTGATTTTTGACCGCGTGGGACACTTTGGCAGGTAAGGAGTTGGGGTTGGAGGTGAGGAGGGAGGACAGCCTAGGGGGAACGGGAGCCACGTGGGTGGAGGCGCCAGTGGGGTCTGTTTCTTTCCGTTGCAATGAGGTCCTCGCGCTGCGCTCGCGATCTGAAAACACCTCCACACCATGTGTCCCAGGGAAGTTGGGAGACCCGTATTCAGACTCCTGACTCTGAGCTGGACTAGTCCTCTCGAACCCTGGCAGCGGGATCTCCCCATAGCCAGCAGAGGGGCACTGGAGCTCGCTTCGGGAATGGTGGGTGCGGGGCCCGCCTGGTGCGCCTGCTGCGAGGCGGGTGGGATCTGCTGCACGCCTTCGGTGGGAGACGGAGTCGGGAGGCCCGGCGGGAGAGGCCAGGTCATGCAAATAGAGGAGTGCCTGTTACTGGCCGCGCATTTCTCTAATTCGCCAAACCGCCTCCCTTTACTTTCCCAGATGACTGCCTCCCCGCCCCGCCACTCCCTGGGGTCTCTCTCAGTGCCTGGCAGGTATTGCCCCAGGAACAACTGTTAGAGTTTATTGCCATTTATAGAAACCTAGTATGTGCCAGGTACACTGTACCAGGTGGTTGATTACACACCGTGCTTCATTTGATGCCCAGTGGGCTCTTGCAAAGGCGTTCGAATCTTTATTTTGATGACTGTGAAACTGAGGCTGGTAGGATCAAAGACCCACGGCTACCTCATGGTGGGACCTGGGTTTAACCTTTGTACACTAGGCACCCTCTTTTTATTTGTTAAATTATTAACAAAATTTTAAAAATATATTCATTCATTCATTCATTCATTCATTCATTCATTCATTCATTGAAAAGAGCTTCCATGTCTCACCCTGGCTGTTTTGGGAGGAGAGGAAGCTGGGTGAGGCGCCATACAGCACGCTGATCAGAGGTTTGGAGCTAAGCCTGAATCGTGGCGCCACTTACCTCCAACGTAATTCTGGGAATACCATGTCTCTGTTTCCTATCCACAAAATGGGAATCATAATAATAACTGCCTTACCTCCCTCTCGCAGGTCTGGAGTGCAGAATGGAAGGTGCATTGGAGGGGCAGTAGTTGGGGCAGAGGAGACTTGGGGAAGAGCCCAAGTGGGAGATAACGAGGCTCTGGCGGAGGCAGGGGGAGGGGGAGAAGGGAGGACAGGACAGTTTTAACAGGTGGAATACATAGGACTTCTTGCCCTAAGGCATGAAGGAGAAGTGGGAGGGACCATAGGACCACCCCACGCTATGCCCCATGCCCCATATTTCTGGTTTGTGTGGATGATGGTGCCCTAAACTCAGAAACAGTTATACTCCTGCTGGGGCAGGCTGGGGGCTTGGATATTGAGATTAGTTTGAGACTCTTGAGTTCCTTGTGGGAGTTCCAGGTCGATACCTCCAATAGGCATCTGGGTAAATAATGTAGCATTCAGGCAAGACACCTCCTTGTCAGTATTGATTGGGTGGCCATCGAGGGCTGAAATGCAGCTGGTAGCCACCATGTGGACAGACTGGGTGTGCCTTGGCACCCATTCCAATCGTTCTTCAGCAGGGGCATCACTGAATACTTTTCCCTCTCCCTGAGTTTTGCAGATACAAAACTTTTAAATTGATATCTTACATATATTCAGAAAAGTACGCGCCATAATCTACAACCTGATGAATCATCATAAAGTGAGCACACCCGTGTTACCACCCAGATCACCCCTTCTCATGCCCTCTCCCAAGCACTCTTCCTTGCTCTCCCCCAAACTCACTACTCTCCTCACATCTAACACCATCAGCCAGTTTTGCCTGATTCTAAACTATATAAATGGAGTAAAAAAAAAATCACATACTCTTCTCTCTCTCCCTGGCTTCTTTTGTTCAATATTGTAAGAATCATCCATATTATATGTCACAGTAGTTTGTTGATTTTCATTGCTGTAAAATGTGTCATGACATGAATATTCCATAGTTGATTCATTTGCTTTCAGAAGACATTTAGATTGTCTGCATGTTGGGCTTATGAATAGGCTCTCGTGTCTGTCTTTTGGGGTGCTCGTGTGCATATTTGGTTGGTTGTATACCTAAGAGAGGAATTGCCCTGTCGCCGAGTGTGCATGTGGTCAGCTGCCAAACAGATTTGCCAAGTGGTTGTAACAAATTATACCCTCACAAGCAGTTTATGAAAGTTCCAGTTGCTCCATAACAGTTGTTAAATATTTTGAATGTCAAACCTTGCAGCAGCACAGTTAAACCAGAGAATTTGACTTCCTGAGGCAGTTTCTCATCCATATCAGAATCTCCTAGGAAGCTCTGTGGAGTCCTGGACCCTACCTCACACACCCTGAACCACAATCACTAGGGGTGGGGCAGAGAAGACAAATCGTAGCTTCAGAGGCCTGCCAGGGCGGGTGCTCTGCTGGGAAGTGTGTGTGTGTGTGAACAGAGAATGTGAATAGAGAGCTAGAGAATAGTTCTAGCGCTGACTGTGGGATTCAGGCTGGCTGGGGAAGGAACTGAGGCCAGGAATTTGGCAGTCAGCTAGGGAAGCTGGTGGGATCAAGACTGGACACCTGGATGCTTCTGGAAATGGGGCCAGTGGGAGGGATGGGGTGAACTGGGGTGGCGGGAGGTCATGGTCAGCGAGCAGAATGTGAGCTTTTCAGTGGTGGGGCTGCTCCAGGTGATGAGGCCACTTAGGTACCAAACCCAGATTCCTTCAGAGGCAGGCAGGTAAACTTCAGACAGACAAAACCTGTTTGCTGTTTGCAGGGGCTGTGTCAGAGTTTTCTGAGTTGAAACTTAGGGGGGTGGGAGGGAGTAAAAGAATTCTAAATATGTGCATTATATATGATTTATGTTACATTCTCAGTCATATTCCTAAGGAGTGGTATTATAGGATGCCAAACAGCATTTGGTTTCAAGAGGACCTGATACCAAAATCTTTATTGCCATGGTGCCTGGCAGTGAAAGGCTGACCCACCAGGAGCTCCACACTGTCATGAGCTGGAGAGGGTGACTCTCAATTGGTATCAGACCCCAGGAGTTTGCCGTTAGTGAAAAACTCCACACTGCCCTTTTCCTCTGGCATTTCCTAGGCAGTATTTAAACTTTTATCATAATTTATGTAACCAGCCTCCTGCTGAGGGACATTTAAGTTTCCAATATTTTGCAGTTATGTACAGCACTGAACATTATAAATGAGCTTTGGGAGAGTTGATATCTTTATGATGTTGAATACTGGTTACTTTTAGGGAGGTAGAGTTTTATTACTTTCAAGGGCAGGTGGTAATACCCATTAGTCTAGTATCTTATAACAAAGTAGAGACACTTAGGTGCTTGATTAAAAAAAATTAGTAAATACAAACTGTTTTCTTAAGTAAGATTAGCTTTCTGTTTTATTTACATGAGTAATTTGCTAAGCAAAGATGTTTTGATCAATAAATTTCAGGTAGCCCACAAACTTTGAAGTATTTTGAAATGATTAGATGAGATAATGAACGTGAAAGTACTTAAACTGTAAAGCATGGTCCAACATAAGGTGTTAGCAGAATATGCACAGTGACCAAGACAATGCCAAGAATAAGGTGTTATGTCCAGCACTGCAACAAGTGCAACCTGGATGGAAGAAGTGGGGAAATGAAGACCTCTGCTGTGTTCAGTATAGACCTATCTAGAATCTGCTTGATGGAACAGAACCACTCAGATGGAATTTTTCTAACAGAGCCCTTCTAGCTAGTGATTATTCCTGCAGGCTGGGAAATGCTTCCTGAGAAAGTGCCAGAGAAGGAAGAAATACCTCCTGAATGCAGGAGCCTGTGACTTGAGGGCAAGTGATCTACCATCCATGCCAGGTGCTCATGGGTAGCAGAGTGTGTGCAGGCCGAGGGCAGAGCCTGACCCTGAGGCTCTGTGGTGACAGCCAGCAGCCAGTGCGTGAGAGCTGGTTACCTGCAGGAGTGAGGGTTCAAACACCACTTTTTGAAACCATGACCATAGTCTCTTGGGGTCTGTTGAGCCATAGCAACTCAGGCTTGTCTTTTCAGACTGCTGTTCCTGCCCAGCTCCTCTGTATGGAATAGACTGAGGTTGATTTCTGATCATTTTTCTTCTGGCAGGGGTACATTTTCTGGAAAAACAGAGCTGGTTTCCATTACCCCCGAAGGGGCAAGTTTTGGGGCTTCATGCTCTTTTGGCGGCTTATCCCAAAGAGACCATGAGAATAGCAATTTGTGTGTCTTCCCTTCTCTTTGCTGCTAGAAAAAAGACACTTAATTCCTGCCTGCATTTTTTTGGTTTGTTTGTTTTTCTTTTCTGAACTGACTGCCGGGGCCAGCGCCAGATACAGAACTCAGCTTTGAAATTGTGGCCAGCACCACTGGCCTGTGGTGTCCTGATAGCTGCAGCACTTTAAATGGATTCTATTTTACTCACTATTTATCTACATGAGGTTCTATGAGAAGTGAGGAGTGGTGGTGCACACCAGCTTGGCAGTCATCCCTGACTTGCACTTCTGTGACTTTGCCTAGCATTATCACTTGCGATAGTCCCCAAAGTGGGGTGGGTTCCCCTAATGGTGGGCAAAGATGATGCTTTGGAGTGCCATAAAGACACCCATTTTACATTTGAATGTATGTATATAAGTAAATGTATATATGTGAATTTATATTTCAACATACATGATATTTTCAGTATTATATGAATATGTGCATGTATATATGCTCCTTTTATATATCTACACACACACACACACACACACACACACACACACACACACTCATTTTTTACTGATTGGGAAGCCAGTCAAAATGTTTTTGGATACACTGGCTTCTTGAACACCTTTTCTCACCAGAGATACCAAGTATGCATTAACTTCAGCACTGTTCATTTTCAGCCCAAGGAACGGTATTCCATGACATTCTACGTACACTGCACTATACATCATGCTAGGTACTATACAGGAGATACTAAAGTGACTGAACCACAGTTGCTACCCTTATGGGACTTCATTCCACCTTTCTGGGGACTTTTTTTGTTGGTTTGATAGAGAAATAGAAAACATTCACCCTGTACCCTGTGTCCTTTAAAAAAATCAACATAAGGGCCGGCCGAGTGGCGCAATGGTTAAGAACTGGCTTGGGATGCCAGAGGGCCCCGGTTCGGATCCCACATATGAGGGCCAGTGACACTGCCCTCCACAGCTAAGATGCTGAACAACAGCTCAACCTGGAGCTGGGCTGCCGTGAGTCGCCAGCTACGGCGTGGGCTGCAGCCCCTGTGGCAGTGGGTTGCCATGGGCTGCCGTATGTAACCAGCAGCCACAGTGAACGGCCGTCCAGAAGCCGGCGACTGATCTGCCTCACCCAGGAAGAGTGCAATGATGGTGCCAACTTGGGCCAGTGAAGCAACGCCCTCCACAACTAGACTGAAGAACAAAACGACAGCAACTTGTCTGTTCCCATCCCCCCAATTCCCCAATAAAAATCTTAAAAAAAATCAACATAAATAACAGAGCAGTACTTCAGTTGCATATTGTGGTTAGAGAAGAGAAAGTAATAGGGAGAGAAAATGAGTGAGAGTGGAGAAGAGGGAAGCAAATAGAAAGGTGGACCTGAGCAGGCAGTGAAGGGTAAAGGAGGCATTTAGTGTGGAGGGAAAAAGACAGGAGTGGAGAGAAGAGAAGGAATAGGCTAGAGCAGCAGTTACAGGTGTGATCTGCAGATCTCTGGGGTCTGCAAGGCCAAGACTATTTTCATAGTAATACTAGCGCGTTAGTTGCCTTCCTTATTCTCATTCTCTCATGAAAGTACAGTGGAGTTTTCCAGAGACTATATGACATGTAATAACAGTCATCAGATTGAAGGCAGACGCAGATATGAGAAACTAGCTGTTTTCTATTAATCCAAGTTTTCTTTTTCTCATCCAAAAGTTTATTAAGAAACGTTTGTCCAAGGATCAATAACATTCTTATAAGCTGTTATCTTAGTACATTTATTATTTTTTAAAGAGACATTAGTTTAATTGGCATGATATGTTTATCAGATACAGGACATTTAGTGTTTACTATATAATTTCTAAGATGTTAAACAATATTCTTTTTTTTAAAGATTTTATTGGGGAATTGGGGGAGGGGAACAGCATTGGGGAATCGGGGGAAGGGGAACAGACAAGTTGCTGTCCTTTTGTTCTTCCGTCTAGTTGTGGAGGATGTCACTTCACTGGCCCATGTTGGTATTGTGATCATTGTACTCTTCCAGGGTAAGGCAGTCGCTCGCCGGCCATTGGATTGCCGCTCACGGAGGCTCACGGCAGCTCATGAAATCTCATGCCTGCTCCCAGGCCAGCCCCACTGCAGCCTACGCCATCGCTGACGACTCACGGCAGCCCAGCTCCAGGTCGAGCTGTTGTTCATCATCTTAGCTGTAGAGGGTGCAGCATCACTTGGCCCTCATGTGGAATCCGAACTGGGGCCCTGTTGCTCAGAGCTGGCACTCTCACGCCAACTCTTAACAAACGTGCCACTCGGCCGGCCTTAAACAATATTCTTTATCATGTGTCCTAAATTTTTGCTATGAATAAGTCATATGCTTATTCACTTGTAGATTATAGTTATTATCTGTTTGAAAAATGAGCCAGCATTTGTTTATTGGACATCTTATGGAACTAATATTAATCCATATAAATTCCTGGAATATTATATTCCTGAAATATTAGTGACACTATATTAATCCAAGTTTTAAATGTAAAGCAGTGCCACTCTTTTCACTAATTTTATTTTGAAAACTATAGCTATATGTTATTATTGTTATGTTTGAATGGATTAGATTGATAGATATAACCAACATAAACAAAAGCCCCTTGGGGTCCTCAAAATTTTTAATAACGTAAAGGCTCCTGAGACCAAAAAGTTTGACAACTGCTGTGCGAAGGGATGGTCATAAGGACCCCTTCCAGTGAGAGGGTGCATCAGGACCAGGTGGGTGGGCAGGTCTGAAAATAGGAAGACAAAGATCCCACGTGACAATAGAATAATTTTGCCTCAGCGTGATCTGACAGGACCTATTTCCTTCTTTTGTGATAATGGTTGTGTAGTAATGTTCTTCACTAACTGAACTGATTCTGTTTTATTATAAATCTAAATCATGAAATCACCTGCCCACAGGGGCTGTTCTGACAATTCCAGGGTTTTGAAATTTGTGGGGCAGTCCAAATTTTATATATTCTACGCTGTTGCCCCGTCTGCACAATTGTCCTTGTGAGGCAATTTTTATTTCAGAAAATATGTTGGTTTGAGTCTGTAAATTTGGAGATGCTACATTTATTTTTAAATTTTTGAATAAACTTTTTAAGTTTTGAATAATTTTAGGTTTATAGGAAAGTTGCATAGATAGTACAGAGAGTTCTTATATGCACCTCACCCAGTTTCCCCATTGTGAACATCTTACATTACCATGGTATATTTGTCAAAATCAAGAAACTGACATTAGTATATTACTATTAACTAAACTCTAGACTTTTATATAGATTTCACTGGTTTTTTTTTTTTTTTTTTAGCTGAGCCATCCTGCCACCTGTTGGCAGCTCAGTGGCAGCTGAGCTTGGGCCAGAAATCGAACCAGGAGACCATGTTGCTCAGAGCTTGCACTCTTCAGCGAGCTCTTAACCACCTGAGCCACTTGGCCAGCCCTTCACTAGTTTTTCCATGAATGTCCTCTTCCTGTTCCAGGATCCAATCCAGGACACCACATTGCATTTAGTTGTCATGTCTCCCAGTCTCCTCTGGTCTGTGACACTTTCTCAGTCTTTCCCTGTTTTTTTTTATGACCTTGACAGTCTTTAGGCGTATTGACCAGGCAGCCTGTAGAATGTCCCCCAAACTGGGATTATCTGTTGTTTTTCTCATGATTAGACCGGGGTTCTGATTTTTGGAATGAAGGCCATAGAGGTGACTATAAAGTTACTGTTTGTTCCCTTTTCCTGCTGCATTCTTGGGAAACGAGTCGCTAGTTAGCCCACCTTCAAGGAGTGAAGAGTGGGAGTTAAGCTCCATCTCCTGTGGAGGGGGAATATCTACAGATATTAGTTGGAATTTTACTGTAAGAAAGTTTGTGTCTTTCTTTCTTTTTATTTATTTGTTCAGTCATTTATTTATATCAGCATGGTGTGTTTGTCAGGATTTTCCAGAGAAACAGAAGCAATAGGATATATAAATATATGTATATATTTTTATAGATTATAGATGTATATATGTATATAGATATAAATAAAAGGAGATTTATTATAGGAATTGATTTACATGATGATGGACATGGGAAAGCCATCTGTAAGTTGGAGACCCAGGAAAGCCAGTGGTGTAATTTAGCCTGAGTCCAAAGGGCTGAGAATCAAAGGGCTGATGGTGGAAGTCCTAGTCTGAAAACCCAAGAACCAGGAGCATCAATGCCCAAGGACGGAGAAGATGGATGTCACAGCCCAAGCAGAGAGAGTGAATTTGTCCTTCCTCTTCCTTTTTGTTCTATTCAGGCCCTCAACAATTGGATGATGCCCAGCCTCATCAGTGAGGGCAACCAGTAGACTCAGTCTACTGGTGCCAATGGGAATCTCCTCCAGAGAAACCCTCACAGACACATCCAGAAATAATGTTTTACCAGCTATCTTGGCATCCTTTAGTTCAGTCAAAGTTGACACGTAAACTTAACCGTCTCAATGTGGACTCATATATTTATTTTATACTTTGGGGTATACTATGCTATTTATTTTGTTGCTCAAATTGTTTCAGCTTTAGCCACCTGGAGCTCTTTCAGATTGGTTCCTGTGTCCCTTTAACATTCCACCATGTTTTTGTACTTTGAGCACTTCCTTACTTTCTGAAATTACAAGATGCTCCAGGCATATGTTGTGTTCTCCCTCTCCTGGTCTTAGAATCAGTTATTTTTTCTGGTTCCTTTTAATGGGAGTGGTATTTAGAAATCACTATCTGGGCACTGGGTGTGCTTGCTGCTATTGGGATGTTATTGCTTCTAGCCCTCTCAAAAGATAGAGCTATGTAATGTATATTATGTATGTTATATATGATATAATATATATGTATATATACTAACCTGTGCATACAAACATATCTATAATTATTTCTGTATTTACCATCTGTATCTATATTAAGCTAAACATGATAAAGACACTTCATATTTGCTTATGTTGTTTTTTAGCCCATAGGCCAGATATAATAACTTGCTTTTCTTCTCTTTTCAGATACCAGATATTTATCTATTTTACATGTGCCTTCCAGAACATCTCCTGTGGTATCCACTACTTGGCGTCTGTGTTTATGACCGTGTTCCCTAAGCATACCTGCAGACCCCCAGGCAATGTGAGTCGGATTCTTTTCCACAATATCTCTTTGTGGAGGTTGAACGATGTCTGGACCCTGTTTCCCACAGGCCATGAAGATTACATTGTAGCACAGCTACAGGACGGTGAGGTGTGGGAGCTCACAAGATGTTACAGGTTCAGGAGGGATAACAACTCGAATTTGAACTATGTTTATAATGGCCATAAGAGTGGCTTTCCTTGCTTGGATGGCTTCATCTATGACAAGAGCAAATGGGATAACACCGTGGTGACTCAGTGGGATCTGGTCTGTAACCGAGAATGGTTTGCAAAGCTGATCCAGCCCACATTTATGCTTGGAGTATTGCTGGGAGCGCTGGCTTTTGGCTACCTTTCTGACAGGTAAAATGAAATGTTTAGGATTGTTGCATCAGTGTAGGGCTCATTTTCCTCTCTGGCTTTCTTAGGGGACGGGGACTTATGTTCAAAATTGTAGTCATTTTCATGACTAAATACCTACCTCTTTGCTGATCTATTAAATAACAGACACAAAATAAGATAGTGGTAAGAAGATGGGTTCTGAAGATAGTCTGCCTGTGTTCAAATCCTGGTTCTACTTATTAGCTATGGACCCTGGGCAAGTTGCCTAACCTGTGTTTTGGAATCTTGTTTGTAAGCTGGAGATTACAATAATAGCACTCACCTCAAAGAGTTATTGTAAATTAATACAGGAAAAGTACCTCAACAGATACTGGTTATTACTTTGAATTTCTCTCTCTTTTTTTTGTTAAATAGACTTGCTTTTAAGAGGTAGAGCCTGGCAGCAATAGGCAGCAGAAGCAGACTCCTGCACAAAGACATAAATACTGGAATTACCAGGCACAGGTTATACAGTAACTGTGTTCACTATTCTTAAAGAAATAGAAGACAAGTTTTAAAACATTGATAAAAATCTGGAAATTATATATTTTAAGGTGATGTAAGATTGAAGAATAACTGCCTAGAACATCTAGAAATTAAAAAAAAAGTGACTAACAAACTTCCTGCGTACTTTTAACAACATATTGTGTACAATTAAAGAAAGAATTAGTGAAACAGATGATAGCTCAGGAAAAATTATCAATAATAAAACTCAGAGACAAAGAGTAGGAAAATATGAGAGACTGAAATTCATGGAGGCAGAGGGATAAGGTCTGGAACATATTTAATATGAGAAACTAATTAATAGAAGTTACCATGTTAACAGATTAGAGGACAAAAGTCGTGTTACCAACACAATAAATATAGGAAAAGCATTTGATAAATTTCAAAATCCATTTATGATAAAAACTGAAAATAGAAGAATATCCTTAATCTGATAACAGGTATCTATAAAAAGATCTACCATGAACATCTTAACTGTGAAAGGTAAAAACTTTTCCTTTGAGATCAAGAACAGATAAGGATGTATGCAATCTCACTTCCACTTAGTATTGTATTGGAGAGTCTAGCCAGTACTATAAATCAAAAATGAGAGGGAGAAGGAGAGGAAGGGAGAAAGTCATGGGGTGGGGCGGGGAGGGAGAAAGAAAGAGAGTGAGAGAGGGAGGGAGAGGGAGGGAAGGAAGAAGGAAGGAAGAAAAGAAGGATGGATGGAAGGAAGGGAGGGAGGGAGGGAGGGAGGGAGGGAGAAAGAAAGAAAGGAAGAAAGAAAGAAAGAAAGAAAGAAAGAAAGAAAGAAAGAAAGAAAGAAAGAAAGAAGTCATTTGTAGCCATTACAATTCTGTATAAAGAAAATGCTGCAGGTGAAGTATTAGAATTAATGAGCATTTAATGAGGTTGCTGGATATATTATCAACATGTACAAATTAATTGTATTTCTGTATACCAGTAACAAATATAAAAATTTTAAGATGCCATTACAATAGTTTGAAACTATGAACTATATATGGATAAATCTGACAAAAAGTTTGTAAACACTCTTGAAGAAAATGACAAACTTCAAGAATTAAATTATTAAGGGAAATAGCTATATCACTAGACAAAGATTGATGAGCTCTTAGAGGCCCCTGAAACAGGCTAGCACATTCATAGACATAACTGTGGAACCAATAAGGCATTGCACATCAGCAGTAAAAGAGTAAGCGGTGCTGGGACAACTGTCTAGCCATGTAGAAGAAAATACAATTAGAGTCCCTTTCTCATAATTTACATTATAAAAATCAGTTCCAGAAGCATTAAAGGCACATATGTGAAAGACAAAACTATGTAACTTTAGGATGATAATATAGGAGAATATTTTCAGAACCTAATGTAAGGAAGGGAAGACATTTTAAAAACAATTTAATTAAAAACAACTTTTTGTGTGTGTGTGGAAAGACATTTTTTAAGACACAGAAAGAACTAACCATAAGGAAAAAATGGATAAATTTGATTTCATTGGAAGAATTTATGCCTATCAGGACACCATTAAGAGAAGAAAGACATATGCCAGGGAGGGAGGGGAAGGAGAGAGAGAGAGAGTGAGAGAAAATATTTGCTTTACATAAAACTAAAGGATTAGGATCCATAATAGTCAAAGGACTTTTATCAATAGGAAACAGATAGACAAAATGGGGGAAAGATTTGAAGTCACTTCATAAAAGAGAAAATCCAAGTGGTTAATGAAAAGATGAAAAGGGTGTCTGTCAGTGACATAATATCATACTATTTATTTTTGACAAGTTTACAAAAGCAAAAAGTCTTGTAAGACCAGGTGTTGGTGGGGATATGGAGTAATAGGATCTCTCACCCTGCTGGTGAGTGGAAATTGAGAATGCAAATCAGGAAAACGTTGAAGAGCGGTTTAGCATTATATAGAGAAGCTGGGGATGTGGACAGACCAGAGGTTCTACAACACATACCCTGCAGATGCTCTTGCACGTGTCCACATGGGTACATGCATAAGAATGTTCCTACGGCACCGTTCCTAAGAGCTGGGCACTGCAAACAACCCAAATGTCCTTCAACCACATCATAGACACATGTATATTCTTGCAGAGGGCTATGTGGCCATGAAATGAATGAACCAGATCAACACAAAACAACAGAGATGAATCTCCAAAAACAACGTTGAGTGAAAGAACCAAGTCATAAAATATAGTTATGGTACTGTCCTATTATAGAAAGTTGAATAACTAGCAAGAGAAGAGTAACCTATATTGTTTAGAGTTACTTATAAAACTATTAAATGGAATGAAAAGCAAGGAATTGATTATCACCAAAATTAGGATAATGGCCCCTAATAAAGGGGGCAAGCGGTTTGGAATCACAAAGGGATATGTGAGAAGCCGCTAGGAGGCTGGCAATGATCTCTTTCTTACTTTGGGTGAGATTTCACAGGTGTTTGATTCTTCATTATTCCCTAAATTGTACATATACATTTTTATGTATTCTTATGTATGTATGACATACTCGTATTATAATAAAAAAGCAAAGAAATAACATCTGATCCTATCCTTATGGAGCTAACAGTGGAGACAGACTTTGAAACAGATAATTTCAATGAGATGTGGTAAATACTTTTGAATGAATAACAGCTCACGTTCATGAACAATTATGCACTAGGAACTATTCCACATGTCTTGTGCATTATCTCATATTATTATTTAAAGAAGTCTGTGAGGTAGACACTATTGGTTCTATTTTAATGGTGAGGAAAAGGAAGCACAGAGAGTTCATTTGGAAAGTAATTGGTGGAGCCGGGATTGGAACCCAGGTCTCTATACCTAATTACAACATCAGGTGTCTCTTAATTTCTGCCATGAGACCCCAGAGGATGGTCAGAAAAGGCTTCACATTTGACTTGGGTTTAAAAGCTCAACGGAGAAGGCTTTCCAAGGGGAAGGGACAACTTTGTGTCATGAGAGAGCCTGGCATGTTCGGGAAGGTGAGTTTGGTAGACGTGTAAGATGGATAAAGGAAACGATAAGAAATTAAATCATGATCAGGATTGTTTTATTTCCAGGAAGTGGCAGGGGGAGGGGGGGAGAAGTGATTGGTAGAATAATGTCTCAGAGGAGATGGGAAGAGGCATGCAATCCAAAGATTGCAGAATGGAGTTTGGAGAGAAAAGGTTGTGTGTCTTCAGAGAGGTGGAGGGAAGAAGAGGCTGGATGCAGACGCAGGTTGTGTTGCCAAGTGGGCGGAGCCGGAAGCTGTGGGGTCCCGTCTTTGATGGTCTCTGTTCCCTGCAGGAGATGGCTGCTCATCAGCTGATAGTGAAAACATTGGGGGTGGTAGAGGGTGTTGATGAGGGATGGATAAGAAAATAGTTTTAAATGGCATTCAAGGCTCAGATGAGATTGGGGAACATTCATGTGTAGGACCAACAATCCCCACTAGTGTGTGTGGGAGCAGAGAAGGCTGAGGGCGTGAAGATGACAGTTTCCTATTTGCTTCCTATATCCTCTGCTATGCCGGGCAAACCTGTTGGTTGGAATCTCAGGACTATATTCTTTTGCCTCAAAACTATCTGTTAGAGACAAATCACAGGGAGAAAATATTTGCAAGTCATACATCTAATGAGGGTCTCGTATCCAGAATCTGTAAAGAACTCTTACAACTCAACAATAAAAAGATGACCCAGTGTAAAAATGGGCAAATGATTTAGACAGGTATTTTTCTAAAGAATATATACAAATGTTCAATAAGCACGTATAAAAATGCTCAACATCATTAATCATTAGAGAAATATAAATCAAAACCACAATGAGATATCCCTGCATACTGATGAGGATGGCTATAATAAAAAAAGACATACAATAACAAGTTGTGGAGGATGTGGAGAAATTGGTACCCTCAGACCCTGCTGGTGGGATTGTGAAAACGGGGCAGCCACCTTGGAAAACGGTTTGGCAGTTCCTCAAAAAGTTAAAGCATAGAGTTATCATATGACCCAGCAATTCTACTCCACTTATGAAAACATAAGTTCACACAAAATCTTGCTCAGGAATGTTCATGGCAGCATTATTCATAATAATCAAAAAGTGGAAACAATTCAAATGTCCATCGATGGATGAATAGATAAACAAAATGTGGTATATTCATACAATGGAATGGAATGTGAGTCAGTCATGAAAAGGAATGAAGTACTGACACATGCTACAACATGGATGAACCTTGGAAACATAATGGTAAGTGAAAGAAGCCAGACACAAAAGGTCATATATTGTGTGACTCCATTTATATAAAATGTCCAGAATAGGCAACTCTATAGAGGCAGAAGGTAGATTAGTGGTTGTCAAGGGCTGGAGGGAGCGGAGAATGAGAAATGATGGCTCTTGGGTACAGAGTGTTTCTTTTTAGAGTGATAAAAATGTCCTGGAATTGAATAGTGATGAAAGTTGCACAACTCTGTGAATACACTAAAAGCCACTGAATTGTATACTTTAAAAAGCTGAATTTTGTGCCATGTGAATTATATCTCAGTTTTTAGGAATCTGTCAGGAATAGAATTTATTTATTTTTTAGACAAAGAAATACCCCTCCCAGTAATAAAAATATAAGCAACTTATTCTAGGAGCAGAATGTAGCAAGACCTCTGTTTTTGGAGGGGCTTAGCAAGGGCGCCTCACCCTCGGTGGGCAGAGCCAGGCCTACAGAGAAGGTGATGCAACAGGTCAGAGAATGGAAGTCCTGGGAGGGAAAGGACACATTCTCCCTCCACCTCCCCGAAATCCCAGGTTAGGAGGTCTTCTGGGGATCACGTAGAGTGATCCTATATGTATATCAGCAGCTTAGGTGGAGGCCTTGCCACTGAAAAACTGGCCTCTTGAAGAAATCATATGTTCACCCATGATTTGCCCAAAATGAATGAATCACAGCCATCAAATACATAAGCTATTAAAAATAGAGGTAACATTCATCTTTCATGAATTGGGGTGGATGTTTAAACTGTTACAAATATACCCTGCTTCTTCGTTAATTCTTCTTTTTCAGGGTAGGAAGACGACCGGTCCTGTGGTCCACAAGCATTGGCATGCACTTGTTTGGCATAGCAGCAGCATTCACATTTGATTATTACAGCTTCATGCTCGCACGCTTTCTTCTTGCTATTGTGAGTTGTGGGTTTGTTTGTTTTTAACCTCTTTAATTCTACAGCAATATTTTCACATTAAACTGTAACTCTCTTAGATTCACTCATTTAGAATCTAGGGAGAGAGATGAAGGATACCCCTTTGTTCACTCCCCTGCAGAAGTTTTTCCGTAGACTATTAATACCCTCTGTTTAGAATGCAACTCATTAAAAAGAAAAATTTGTGCTTACTAGGCAGAAACTTTTTGTTTGACTCTGTGCCTCGCACATGATCCACATTGCACAATTACTTTATTTTATTTCTGAGCAATTAATCATCTTGGTCTAGTTAGGCCCTGTACTTGTATATGAGCCAAACAGATGGTTAAGGTGTATTGTTAAGGAAGTCATTTGTATAATGTGCAGTGAGAATGAAAACAAGAAGGCACTAGGCCTTGCTGTTATGAGGAACAGGGGAATCTAGTGGAAAGGGCATGAGTTTGAATGCAGCTTGGTCGTATGTTGGCTTCTTAGCTGTGTGACCTTGGGAAAACATGTCATCCTCTTCGAGTCTTTAGTTTCTAAACTACAAACTGTAGAAAATTTTGGGTTGTCGGAAAAGTCATGACGCATTTTTGCAACGAAAAACATAGAAAAAATACGTCATGACTTTTCCGACAACCCAATAATACGTGCATTGTGGGGTTGTTACCAGGATTCAGTGAAATTCAAGTAAACATCTGCAGTACAGCAGCTGGCAGGTAGTTAGGCACTTTGTACATGGTGACTGTTACTGGAAGTGGACCAGTGAGTGAGGACGTCGCTTCCACACTTGGTGAGGCTATCACACAGCTTCCAAATGACCAAACAGCAGCAGCAGCGATGCTGTTGGAAGGTCTCTGATCAAGGATAACGGGGTGAAGATTTTATCTGCGGGAAGAGTTTATGATCTTGCTGAGCATAGAGAAGGGCATGCATCGCCTGTCACCAGGATGGATGATTGAAGGGTCCAGGAGGAGCCAAGGACTACAACCTCAGAGGAGAGGTAACTGCACTCCTCTGAGAGCAAGGTGATGTGTTCAGTTTTGGAGTCTTCACTGATGCTGGAAATGGCTCCTAAGAAGCCACACAGATGACCAAGGATAAAAAAAAAAGTAGGAGACTTGAAGATGTTGTACCTTTAAAAAAAAGTAAATATGTGTATATATTTATTTAGGAATGTAAGGAATTTTTAATACAAAAGATAAATAACCAGCAGTTTTGTCTCCACTGAGGACAGAATAAGAGGAAAGGGCTCTGTAACTGCAGAGTGAGATTTGAAGAGAGACCTTCTGGTGGGAATAATAGCTCAACAGAGGCACAGGTATCAGGAGAGGGTGGAGGTCCGCTTTGGGAAGACTTCAGAGGATAATTCTGAAAATACCTGTTTCAGTCTTGCAAAATACTGTGTGTTGGTTTCCAGAGCTAAGAAAATGAGACAGCCACTGTAGAATACAAAATGTGGCCTTAATTTTCTGTGGCTCTTTCCTTTGATTTTCATGGGAAATGTAATTGGGATAGAATTCTGAGTAGAGAGGATGCAGGCAGATTCATGTACTCCACACATTTATTGATCTCCCTACAGAGTGAAATGCTAAGTGAACCAGACCAGGCTGTTTCAATAACCCTACCACGTGGTGGTGAAGGCAAGACATTGATGGGCTGTCTTCAGAAGAAATATATACAGTGTTGACAGTGGAAGCATAACAGAGTCTGGGTCCTCCCGGTGGTGTGGGTGGGTGGGGAGTCTGGCACATCAGGGGCTTTTTGGTCCTGAGGGATGGGTGACAGAAGGACAGAGGGAGCAGCAAGTGAGAAGGCCCTGGGATGAGAAGGAATTGAAGGTCCGAATGCCTGGAGAATGGAAAGGAGGTGAAATACATTGATGGTGCTGAGGCGAGAGGGATGACTGGGCAGAGCCTTGTAGGATGATAGAGTTTGCTTGATGTCCTAAAGGCCATGGGAATCCACTGGAGGGGTTCAGGCAAGGTGAGGTAGTCATTCTGGCTGCTGTGTGAGGGTGGGGTCAGGGTAGATGACAGGAACAGAGTGTTATCAGTGTTGACAGTCGGAAGGGATCAAGGAGTCTTTTGGAATTATTTAGGTAGTTGTCTGGGTTGTCTGAACCCAGTGACAGAAGTAACCAGCAGGAAGTGGGAGTGGACTCAGAAGGAATTAGCATTGAAAAAAACGTGTTGGGGACTGATATTACAGCTTAACTTAATGGGGAAATTTGTAGTATGTGAGGGCTATCATAGTCTTTCTTTGTTTGCCATAACAGCAGCAAACATTCCCCAAACAACTAGATTCTTGGATAGAGGAGTCCTCATTATCAAGGTTCATTATCTAAGCCTTGCAATTACAAGACTTAGGGGAAATAAAAGCTGTTTTCATAAAAATATTAAACTCACTATTAATACAGTAGTTCCTATCAAGCACCTCCCTGCTTACTACAAGTGTCAGGCCTCTCATCACGAGAACTTGCTTGTGGGCTAGTGTCTTTGTGACTCTGATGCAAGGTGAACTTGCAGATTTTGCAAGAGATGCTTGATGACAAAATATCTTTGAAAGCAGTGGGGGAAAACTGCCTGAATCCTCCCTAAATCCCTTGGCCAATTGTGATCTGGCAGAGATACACCATTTAACTTTTGCAGAAACTAACATTCTCAATGATAATGACATGACGAGCCTTTGAAATATCAAAGGATTAAGGCCTTTGGGGAAATCAGTGGTGCTTTAGAATAACTTTGCAAAAATTAACTTTATGATTTGTGTTACAAAAGTAAAGTGTGAAATAATTTTGCAGGAAAAATTCTAATCCTTTCACCACCACCCCCAGCCATAAAAAAGTCCTTCATTTGATTCATTCTTTGTTTATTCCAAGAATGATCACATATTGCTATTATAATCTAAATTTTGTTCAGTTAAAGATAGTCCTATTTTCAAAATAGAGGTCCCCCCCCCATTTTTTTAAATTGGGGAATTGGGGGGATGGGAACAGTGCTGGGGAATTGGGGGAAGGAGAACATACAAGTTGCTGTCGTTTTGTTCTTCAGTCTAGTTGTGGAGGACGTTGCTTCACTGGCCCAAGTTGGCACCATCATTGCGCTCTTCCCAG